AGTTTTCAATATGGTTTCTTTAAGGAGAAACTGGAAAAAAAAAACTGATTTTAAGGGGGAAAAGCTTTAAATTTAAATGAGTGGCCTCCAGTCATCTAGAAAGGTAACTCTTTAGTAGCATAAAATCTTATTTTATTGGGGCCGGGGAGATGGCTCATTGGAATAAGTGCTTCCCTGGCAAGCGCAAGGGCCTGAGTTCGGTCCCCGGTTCCGTCAAAAAACAACAAAAAAAATCTTATTTTATTTATACAATATCAACCTCTGACTTAAAATTTTGTTTCTGCATTCATCTGGTAGACAATAATTTCATTTAAGTCAGATGGGAAACATAATAGGGTGACATATGCAAAATTTCTTACATATTGGTCACTTGGTAAAGATAGCTTTACAGATTCAGGTTTTTATTTCTTTCCTGAAAACTTATAGAAACACCATTTTTTCCACTTTCACCATAAAAAGATATTACATAAATACATAAATAATAGTAATAAATAATGAGTATCTACAATATCTATGCACTATGTAACATAAAGAATACTGTATACACAACAATCCTATAAAGAATATATCATTAGCATTTTCTAGATCAGAAAAACTGTGCTTCATAGAGGTTTAGAAACTGGATCAATTATTCCACAAAGTTACATTACTACAGGAATCTAAGTGAGCAACATGACGTTCCAGGCTGCTGCTCAGCAAAAAATTAACTTTTGCCTCCACTCCTACCTCTTCCTTCTAAGGGAGAAAAAAACTATCCCCACTTGGAAAGGAAATAAATCAGCAATCTTAAAAAAAAACTGTTTAAATGAACAATTACATGTATTTGGTTTTTAAAAGCAAATACCCCTTGCCCAACTTTGGCCATAGTTTCTTATTAGTGATTGTTAAGCAATTATACCTCAGAATGCTTAATTATGTCAGAAATTACCTAAATGCTGTGTAGTTTAATAAATAATCTTCCTGTGATTACAACACAATTTGAAATAGTCCACTAACTTACACAAAAAATATTTTTCATTATAACTTTGAGATATTTTAAAACGTTTCCAAAAACCTGAAAAATAGCAACTTAAAAAATAATGAACTGTGTTCCAAGTTTACTTAACTTTATCACACAACCCTTCACCCACTGCTATATAAGACAACCACTGCAATCTGTTACTTAAGATTCAGTCCAGAATTTAAGTTTATTTTAAACAAAAAGCAACCAGTGACTTGAACATGTCATTTATATACTATATGTCCTACATATGAATGGCTTCTATCTCAACAACAAAAACACTACAGATAATTCATCACTTTCTGCTGCACAGAGTTGAGATTTAAACTCCTTCCCTTAGGGGATGGGAAGATGGCTCAGTGCAGTAAGTGCTTCCCTGGCAAGTGCAAGGGACTGAGTTCAATCCCCGGTTCCGCAAAAAAATAAAAATAAAAATAAACTCCTTCTCTTTTAGTATGACCTCTTAGACAAACTGTCAGCAAACTTGAAGTAACTGCAAGTACTGCCATTCCTGCCTTCTAATAGAAAACAATTTAGTGCCAGTCAGCACCATAAAATGTGGAACTTAAAAGGAAAGGCCAATGAAGGAAAGATAGGCACCACTGAAATCACTGTGTCCCAGTGTCAGGGCCCCAGTGCAGAAAAGTCAACATGCCTAGCATTTCCTTTCTTACTTTCAAATTACTATTTTCACACTCTTCCTTATAAATCTGCACCAAGGAAGTTTGACAATCCTTCCAAATGTATATTAAGTGACTTTTGGTTTCTAGTTTTTCCACAGGAGTATTTTTATCATTTCAAAATCCCATTTGCATAAACATACAAAATTTCAAAAAAGGTAAAATTTGCACTGATGACAGGAAAGGTCAACTGCCCACACTGTTCTGTTTGTAAGCTGAAGAAGAAAGAAATCCTACTCACAAAAAAGTACATCTGATAAGAGGCTAATAATAAATTTATGGGAGAGAAGAAGAAGAATGGCCCACGGCCTGATAATACTAAGCATGCTCTAAGTCAATGATGGAGAACCTTTTACAGCTTTCAACAATAAACAGCCCCATTGTGGCATGTGTGCCATAGGTTCACCACCATATCTATATGTTTTAAAAATGGAAATTCTACATGGTCCTTTTATCTTTCAAAATAAAAGGCTGTTCTCCATATCCTGAGTCACACTCACATGGTACCAAATATCATAATAATGCAGTACCTGTGAAGTTCATTATGGAAATCAAAAGACAGAAATGTGTCTTTTTGAGAACCTAAGTTAGCATTGTAAAGATGATTTTCAGTAGAAATTTCCTTATTTATAAAGGGTATTTAGGTCTCATAATACCATCAGTTTTAACAGCTCATGTGCAGACTAGATTAAGGACCCATTACATAAAATACTCCTATGAAGAATAAGAGTTCTTAGTCCCCCCCAAAGTCCCTAAAAGGGGGTATAATTTTGAAAAATATTGCATATTGCTAATACTTCATGAACCAGCTACCCTTCTGATACAATCAGAGCAACACCTCCATAAAGAAAAGTAATTTCCTCTCTTCTTATAAAAAAATGAATCTTTTTTTTCTAAACTTACATATACTGAATAGCAGATTGTCTAATTATAGCAGTCCAAGCCATTGCTGGAAGGCAGCCTCAATAGTAGGATGAAAGTAATTTCATATCTTCTATTTAAATAGTCATACATGTTATGACACTGCCCAAACACCAAAGTGTGAACAGAAAGCTAACTTTTATAAACATAAGTTTTACTTAACATCTTAAAACTTAAGGAAAAAAGAGGGGGGCAGACAAAGGGGTCAGAAGTTTGATCCATGGCCTGCCTTGCTGGCCCAGCCCCTGGGGCGTGTTGACATGGCGACTGAGACTGGGTGTGGTGATGTGTGCCTGTAATCCCAGCATTTAGGAAGCTGAAAACAGGAGAATCACTACAAATCCGATCTGTGTAGTGAGACCTTGTAGACCCTGTAGACTCTGCACTAAATACAAAAAAAAAAGAGAGAGAGAGAGAGAAAAGAAAAAGGAAAAAAAAAAAAAAAAAAAAGAAAAAAGGCCTAATATCCTAATTCT